CGAATATGGCATCCGAAAATTACAACACGCTAACTACCTTATCTGTGTCCATTGGGGTGTTCGCGATGAGGATTTTGGCCTTCTCCATCCTTTTCGGTTGGTACATACCCGGCAGCTTTTCGAGAAGGAAGCCTTAACTTTTCACCTTGCAACATTAACGGTGAGACTAGCAAAACTGAGGTAACTTGAAATGTTTTTGTGAGTACCTTCATCGAGATAAGAGTCACTCATTGAACCACCGAGCTTCTTAATGATTTGGATCGCATCGAGATTCCCTGATCCCTGAAGAAGTGCATGGAATGGGAATACAGCAACGAGTGCAATGAAAACAGCATACCTTCATTCTCAGCACCGCGTCGACTGCCAACTTGGCAAAGTGATCTTTGTGCTGGTTCAAAATCTTGGATCCCAGAGTAGTACGAGCAATCTTCAGCAAATCCTCCTCCATGTTTTTGCTGTAAAAGTTTGATATTAATGCTAACACTACGCTATTACACCACATTTTACCCTGGGCGTGCAACAAAATATTAGATACCAGGCATAAGCTACTGTACCACCTACTGCAATTTAAAAAAAACCATCCTCACTGTTTGCGAGAAAAATATGCATGGAAACGAATAAACGCATATTTGTTGCGCGGTCAACTCTCATAACTCATAATTTATAAATATATATAAAAATAAGATACAAAAGAAGATATAAGCGACATCTCAAACTTCACGAGATTTGAATCGCTGCATAACAAATTCATGAACAAAAACATCATTTTAGCGCTTTAGAGGATCATAGTGTTTACTTTGTAAAACTCTTTTACAGTTGATTTTGAATTTGTTAATGCTGACCCAGTAGGAGGGAAAAGAAAAAAAAACGGCAAAGAATAGAACTCTCAATTAACTTACCCTGATTCCATAGCTGAAGAACGAAGAGCATCCTGAGCAATCAACAGTGCTCGTCGGTATCCAGCAATAATCGTTTGAGGATGGATGCGTTGGTTAACCAATTTTTCAGCCTAAACCATGTATGATTCATCATGTTCCTGAAAACCCTAGCCCCTAAAGAAGGGAAAGTTCTGCAAAAATATCCGATTTAAAAACGACTTCAAATACGAATACGCAGAAGAAACAGAAAAAAGACATAAAACGAACTAGTCTAAGAAAAGAGCCATGGGTGACACTGCGTGAGAAACAGACGATATCTTTCTAAAGGTTCTTACTTTCCACCAGTGTACACCATTGTCGAGTATTCCCCGGTAGGGGTGGTAACCAGTTGAGAGGAAGGTTGGCCGGATTAGGAGAGAATTTCGTGGAAGAGTAGAATTTTGTTGAGTGCAGGGATCCTTGACACGATTCTGTCTGTATTCTGGGTAGTTCTTACGAAATCTTGAGAGATTAACAGAACTTTTATGAATTTAACGAAAAATCCCAAGTAACCCAATTTCTTATATCTAATTCCAAGAATATATTTTAGGTCATGTCAAGTCAAGGTTCGAAAGGAAGGAAGGTCAATGGGAGTAGGAACCTTTGAAGGAAGGAGGGAAGGAGTTGAACAATCAAGCTTCCTCGACATATTGTTCACCCTACGAACCAACATTTGAGTGCGTTTGAGTAAGATCTGTAAAAGTTCAGCGCTACTAAAAAGCTGAACAACCAACCTCTCTCAGCAGTTCAGCTGCAAGCACTGTTACCGATGTTGTTCCATCTCCAACTTCACTGTCCTGTGTCATGGACATGTCTAAAAGACAACTGCAAACTTCTATTGCGGAATTTATTTTGAAAACGAAGTGAAATGAATAAAAATAGTCGCAATTACAACGACTTCAACTGACTTATACGCTCACGTCGATATTGTCATATCGACGTCCTTTCATTTTTAAAACACTACGATTAAGAAAATTGCTTGGACGAAAGCTGACTTCATCACTCCTGCCATTCTTCGGAAAAACGAGAACAAATTTAAACATAAAACCAACCAACAAGCACTTTGGCAGCCGGATTGTCTACACCAATTGACTTGAGAATTGTGGCTCCATCATTTGTGACCTTGATTCCTTGATGTTCACCACTTGCCGCTGATCAGAAAAATTTTATTATCACTGAACAACTATCTATCTAGAGCTACAAAAAACTTGCGAACTGCCGATACCGCAGAGAAGAAAGAAACGAACCATGCCCTTAGGTCCTAGAGTTGACTTTCACAAGGTCTCCAATGGCGATGGCCCCAACGAATGAGCTCAGCCGAGCGGTTTCACCGCGCTCCTCCTGTGCGTTGTCCTTCAAAATCTGCACAGGTAGCATATCCGCCACTGTAAAAAATACTTGCAGAGCATGCTCTTGCCTGACGCATCGAAAACGGCAAACACACACACGAGTTAGAAGTAAAATTCAATTTTGAAAGGGTTCCATAACAGGGTAAACCACTCAACCCGATTTTACCACAAACCAAAACTAATGCACATTGTGAATGGGAAGGTCACAAATCGGGAAAGAAGCAGAGAGTACGGCGCAATG